GCTGCGTGCACGGCCGCCCCTCTGCCGCCTCCACCCCCAGCCCCGACGCCGCCCGCCGCCGGAACCCCCAGCCGAAGCAGGAGGGGGCCGCCCCTGATGCCGCCGCTGCTGCCGCGGCGGAGGCGGCGGGGGAGGGGCGGCAGCCCGCCGAGAAGGACGGGCAGACGGCCGTCGCCGCGCCGGTGAAGCGGGAGCGGCGGTCCCGGTCATCGCGGCATGGTCCCGCGCACGCGGAGGTGCGGCTCGGCGGCAGCTTCGCCAACAAGGCGCGCGGGGAGCAGGTCGCCGCCGGCTGGCCCGCCTGGCTCTCCGCCGTCGCCGGCGAGGCCATCAACGGCTGGACCCCGCGCCGCGCCGACACCTTCGAGAAGATCGACAAGGTGCGCCTCCCGTCCCCCCACCATCTCCGAGCTCCCCCCAGCCCCGTGATCCGTGCCGCGCCAGCAGCGCCCGCCGGAGGAATTTTGTGTTTTTTTTGTCTGACGAGCGAGTTATTTGGTGTTTCAGATCGGGCAAGGCACGTACAGCAATGTGTACAAGGCGCGGGACTCGATGAGCGGCAAGATCGTGGCGCTCAAGAAGGTGCGCTTCGACAACCTGGAGCCCGAGAGCGTGCGGTTCATGGCCCGGGAGATCCTCATCCTCCGCCGCCTCGACCACCCCAACGTCATGAAGCTCTACGGACTCGTCACCTCCCGCATGTCCTGCAGCCTCTACCTCGTCTTCGACTACATGGTCCACGACCTCGCCGGCCTCGCCGCCAGCCCCGACATCAAGTTCACTCTGCCCCAGGTCAAGATCCCATTTAGCTGGAACAGCCACATAGTGACAAATTATCACTTCAAAATGTGGTCTGCTGTGGCTAGTCGAGTCTGACCGAGGTGTTTGTGCTCCGCAGGTCAAGTGCTATGTGCATCAGCTGCTGTCAGGGTTGGAGCATTGCCACAACCAGGGAGTGCTGCACCGCGACATCAAGGGCTCGAATCTACTCTTGGATGACGACGGTGTGCTGAAGATTGGGGACTTTGGTCTGGCGTCTTTCTTCGACCCGAACCATAAGCAACCGATGACCAGTCGTGTGGTGACGCTGTGGTACCGGCCACCAGAGCTGCTGTTGGGTGCTACGGATTATGGAGTAGGTGTCGACTTGTGGAGTGCCGGATGTATCCTTGCCGAGTTGCTGGCTGGGAAGCCTATTATGCCGGGACGGACCGAGGTTAGCTATGGAACACTTGCTCTTTTCCCACAAATGTTACTAAAGTTGATACTGTTCAAGTGTGATTTTGCTGAAGTACTGTTCATAGCTTGCCAACCATTCCATGCAAACCATGTTAACATTTTAGGGCAGGTCTCGTGCAAGACTGCCTTGCTGATGAAATGATATACAATTTAGAGCATGTTCAGATAGAATAAGCACTACTTCCAAATGTTGTTATTTATCAGGGGTGGACCCAGAGAGAAATTGACCCGGTGTCTCAGTGCAAAACCACACATATTTCCCATCCAAAAATGTGGTGTCACACACTATACTATACTCAAAAAGTACCAAGAAAACAATCTTGCACCTGTTGTCCTGGGCACCCGGGTAGCTGAACCTGGGTACGCCCCTGTTCTTTATTGGTCATCGGGCATAACAGTTTTCCTCGAAATGTACCATTTTGGCAACATAAACATGGTGGAAGGACAATCTTTATGTTATCACTGCTATAAAAACCAGTGGAGTAGATGATAAAGATCATTCTAGCTCTTAGTATTTTGTTATAACCTCTACTCTTTTATCATATATGCCCTTTGGTCCTATAAAAGCTATCATTTTGGACAAGAATGGAGTCGAAATTTTGGCTACCAGTATATTTGCAAATATTTAGACCGCATACTTGAAAATCATACATGTGAGTTTGTCTCAGAAAGTTTAGTGGAAATGCTGAAGCATATCGAATCACGAAATCAGTGCCTAATACTTTGTTGCATGTTTGCAGTTCATATCTGTCATGAATAATCCAATTATATTTGTGTTAATGTTACACTTTTAATTGATGTAGTAATACTTTATCCCCACATTATTTTAATTGTTTATTTATTATTTACAATGTTTTTAATCATGTCTTCTTTTCAGGTAGAACAATTGCATAAAATATTTAAGCTATGCGGATCCCCCGCTGAAGAATATTGGAAAAAGTCAAAGCTGCCTCATGCAACCATATTTAAGCCCCAGCAGCCGTACAAAAGGCGAATAGCAGAGACATTCAAAGATTTCCCGCAATCAGCACTTCGGCTGATTGAAACACTCCTATCAATTGATCCCGCCGATCGTTTAACAGCAACTGATGCATTAAATAGTGATGTAAGTTTCCTGAGTATTTATCATTTTTTTCCTATTTGATGTAAATTGGTAACAACTAACAAGAATGAGATTCTCAACTCGTTGGATAAATTGGCACAAGGATGCCAAGTAAATTAGTTATGCAATAGATGGAACTTATATGCGTTGCATATATTAGATTATTGTGTCTTCTGTACTTGTTTAAACTTGTAATATTGATATTTGATTAGTTATATGCCCTCATGATGTTAGAGTTAAATCCAATTCATTGGAATCACATTGAGATCACGGTATCTTGTTAGTTCTCTGTACGGAGTTTTAACTTTTAGGTTCACATAGGTCCATGAAATTATGCTCGGAATTTGTCTAGAGTTTATCATGTGATTCTGATATTTAACATGGTATATGTAAGACAGAACCCGAATTCTAATTTTGATATAATGTAAGTTTTTTGCAAACACTATGGTAGAGGGCTAGTTATTTAATTAAATTTGTTTATGAAGTATCTACATTGCTGCTCCTTGTTGTTACATCGTACTTGACTACTTACACCTTTTTGCACTACCAACACAGTTCTTTAAAACGGAACCTCGTGCTTGCGATCCATCAAGTCTGCCACAATACCCACCAAGCAAAGAGATGGATGCAAAACGGAGAGATGAAGAAGCTAGACGGTTTGTCATCCTAACACTCCTTTCTTCCCTTAGAAAGTTGTGTTGATTTTCTGCATTTGTGTTTGCCTTATCTTTGTGGATGCTTGTCATTTAAGCTCTTCACAACCTAGATATGTAAACACATAGTGGTTTTAGAAAGCATGCACAGTCAAAGTCATATGGCATAGATGGGCCGTTGAAACAAACTATCACAATGCCCGTGCGTTGCTATGGAACCACAAAAATAATTGCACTTGCACTTGAAGCAATGTGGAGAAAAAAAATTCAATCAAGCAGGCAACACTGCACTTGCGTAACTGCAGTGACCATGGGAGCACCATGGCAAGATTTGCAGCGGCATAGCCATGGTTGGATTTTGAAATTTTAAAGTTAGGACAATGGAGATTTGGAGGAGTAGCAGTCGAAGCATGGGGATTGGGGAGGAGCGGACACCTTTCTGGGGAGGAGCCGCTGCAGGAAGAAAATCCTCTGGTGGATTGACTGGCTGGTTCATGCTGCGGAAAAGAATAATGCAATGTCATGTACTTACAAAATACTTTCCTATGCAAAACATGAGTGGCACGGTGGCTTGTTGGACCAGAAGGGATCTGGTAGGCCGTGGATGGATGAGGGGGATTGGGATGGAGTTGGGAGGTGAACTCGTCGCCACCATCACCACCACCACCAACTCCAATTTTAAGATAGTAGAGAAACTCCAATTTATATGAGATAGTAGTAGAGAAAAGAGTGCTGAAGAAATTGTTGGAAGTTATAGAATAGAGTTAGGAATACAATTACAGGAGTATTCTAAAATCTAGTTTGCCGTAAGAGCCTACTTCTGCAGAATGGTTCGATGAACTTGATAACAGAAAAGCATACCTTGACAACACTGTACAGCACAGCAGGATGTAAGGAAGAAAAATAACATTTCTTTGATTCAAAAGGTAACTTCAGTGGGTGCTAGGCGTATACTTATTTGTAGTACTAAAAGTAAGTCTCGACTATCGTGCCAACTGCCAAGATTCCTGTATTCCTGGGAGCTTGTTGGGAATAGTTGCTTAGACATCATCATGAGTCATGCTGTCATGCAACAATTTGTCTCACCTTTCTGGTGTATATTTAATGCTTCTTTCTGAAAATATTTGTAATATCTTCTATTTCTCCACCTCTTGACCTTGTCCATTGGCTGATATAAGCTTGAGCTTTTGCACTGTGTAAATTGCTTATTGGCTTATTCATTGGATGAAAAACAGTTTAAGAGCTGCTGGTAGTAGACCTAATGGTGATGGAGCTAGGAAGACAAGGACGCGGGATCGGCCAAGGGCTGTTCCAGCACCAGAGGCAAATGCCGAACTTCAAGCAAACATCGATGTATGTCAAGTTATCTTGGTTCCCTACAAGTTACAGTTGCATGGGCCTTTTTTTCCGCTTGCCGTGTCTGCTGTTACAAACGCTAATCTGGACTCAACTTTACCCTTTACAGAAAAGAAGGCTAATAATGCATGCAAATGCGAAGAGCAAGAGCGAAAAGTTCCCTCCACCACATCAAGATGGCGCACTCGGCTATCCGTTGGGTTGTTCGAATCACATGGAACCTACATTTGAGCCCCCAGACCCATCTTCGTTCAGTACCGTATTTCCTTACGACAAGACCGCTGTGCCTACGTGGTCTGGACCCCTGGTTGACCCTCCTGGGGGCAACCAGAAACGGAAACACAAATCTGGACGATCTTCGAAACAACCATCAACTGCCCGTGCTCGGTGATACATTATGTGATATTTGGTGCATAAGAAATTCTTCAATACGGACAATTTACTCGGCAACAGTTCCTGGAAGCTGGGGAGATCTGATTATACGACCAAGACAAGCAGCGATGAATTTTTCCAAGATCCATGAATTCATTCCATGTACGGATTCTTTTCAAACCGCAGTGTATAGATGGGAGAGGGAGCTCAGTTAGTCGAATTCTGTACATTAGGTTGTCCTTTTCATTTCTTACAAGCAGCTATATGTCATGTTAGATTCGTTTGAGTGAGCAATGGAACTTTTAGGTCTACTTGGCATGCCACTGCAACTTACTGTTAACTCTTACTGCAGTTATATTTCATGTTAGGTTGAGTATCTCAAGTTATGTTTCATGTTAGATTGAATATTTCTTAAATCTGATGTTTTGTCCAGCTTTATGTTTTTCCTTTATGGCTTCAAGTTGTAGATTCAGACAATTTGGACATCATTAGTTTATAAAAAAGTTGTTGCCTTGTCCTTCGGTTCTTCAGCAAAATGCTGACATATTAACAGTTTCAACTTCTGGCAATACTTCTGCATATATATGCTCTACTTGCGTGCCCGTCACCGTGGCGTAATGCGCGCCCGAAGGTTGTATCTCCTCATGGCGATCGACGCTGAGAGCGAGTTTTCGCCGATTTCTTCCCGGAAGCCGTGGTCCTTCCTGCAGATCTCATCTTCCCGGAGCGCGAAGTCCGGGTCGATTTCGCTGTCGACGTCGTCCTGCAGCTCGTCGAAGACCCACGAGTAGTCGCTGAGGCTGCTTTCATCATCACTGCCTGTCCCCCATGGACACATCTTGTCTCCTGGACCAGAGGAGGATGATAAGTACTACTAGATCAGATTCGGTACAAGCATTACGGTTCAAAATTCAGACAGCCGTTGGCGGGCATGGGACTGGTGAAAGTGAGAGGAGAATTTCTGTCATTTTTTGTATTGCTAGTAAGCTCACCGGCGGCGTTGTCTTCGATTGCCCGGACTTTCTCCACCAGCGTCTGGAGCAGCTCATGGTTCAGCACCTCGTAATCCCCGCAGCATAAAAATGGAAAATCAGATGAGATCAACGTACTGTGACGTTGGCGATTCGAGATCGTGATTCCACGGGCTGTCGTACTTGAAGGCGAAGATGGCGTGCAGGATCTGGGCGGCGGCGGCGGCGAGGAAGGCCGCCCGAAGCAGCAGCACCTTGGACACGATCCAGAACGGCCTGGTGAGCTCGTCGTCGGCGGCACCCAGCCTGATGAGCGCGACCTCCACCACGAGCGTGATGCACAGGCCTGGTTTGATGATCAAAGCCAAGTAGTTGGCACATGAAGAAATGAAGTAATGGAAGGAAGGAAATGATGATCTGATGAGTGTGAACTGTGAAGATGCGTTACCGAAGTAGAGCTGGCCTCTGATGGCGAAGGTCTGCTTGGCGCTGGTGAGGAGGTAGAGGAGGAAGACGACGCAGCTGTAGAAGAAGAAGGCCTTGATGAAGCGGGACTCCACCAGGATGGCGTTGTGCAGCACGTAGAGCTTGTCCAGCGCCGCGAAGATGTTGGCCTGCTTCGCGCTGAACTCCTCCTGCATGCATGCGCATCGGGCGAGCGAGCTTCGGATCAATGGCGGCTCAGCACGTCTCGGAAACCAGAGCAGAGGAGGGGGAAGAGGAGGACCTGCGCCTGGAGGATCGACTCCGAGTTGTGCATGAGGTGGTCGTGGGCTCGCCGGAGCTGCTCCTGCCGGGACAGCAGCTCGTCCTGCTGCTGCCGCCCGAAGCGCGCCAGCTTGTGCATCGCCTCCCTGCTCTCCTCGAGCGCTCCGGCCAGGAAGCCGTGGAGCTCCCCGAGCGCCCGCGTCGCGTTCGCCTGGCCCTCCAGCAGCTCCCGCTGGTTCTCCAGCGACTTGCCGGCGGCGCTCCCGATCTCCTCCGCGGTGCGCTGCAGGCCCTCCATCCGCGCCGCCATGGCGTCGCCGACGGCCCTGACCTCCCGCTCGATCCCCGCCGCCTCCTCCTTCAGCCTCACCATCTCCTCGCCGAGCCGCGCGTACTCCTCCTCCACCCGCGCCATGCCGGCGTCGATCCGGCCCCGCATCTCCTCCTGCCCTTCCCTGAGGCCCGCCTGCGCCGCCGCGATCTGCCTCGACTGCTCCGCGATGGCCGCCGACTGCGCCAGCACGTCGCCGATCCGGGATTTGAGGTTGTCGGACGCGGCGGCCAGGTGCTCCGTCTGCGACACGATCGACGACATGGAGCCGTGGAGCTTGCTCGACTCCTGGATGATCTGGTCCGACCTCTCCTCGATCGCCGACAGCTTCTCGCTCGCCGCCGCCGCCGCCCGGGTCAGGTCGTTCACCAGCCGCTCCGTGCTCTGCTTGAACGCCTCCGCCCTGCAGATACGGACACACAACTCGCAGTCAGATAAATCAAGAAAATTCATCCTTCATCGGAGGAGGAAGACGAAGACGATCATGGTGGGTTGCGTACTGGAGCTGGTGGCAGAGGGTGTTGGTCTCGAGGAAGAACTCGAGGAAGACCTTGTCCTCGTGCTCGGAGAGGCGCTTGCGGCAGTGCACCATGCGGGAGCGGTCGTCGCAGGGCGGCAGCGGCGGGCGGCCGGAGTCCTGCTGGTAGCAGGCGCTGAGGCGCCACGCGAGCCTGGACTGGCGCTCCTTGTCGGACATGATGTGGGCGCAGCTGGCGAAGAGGCCGCGGTACGCCTCGCCCCAGCAGGAGGCCTGGCCGGCGATCCTGCGCCGCGCGCCATCCAGCAGCTCCACGCCCCTCGGCCCGCCGCCGCCGCCTTCCATCGAGAAGTCGACCACCGTCCTCCCGCCGCTGTCGTCCGGCAGCGTCGGCGCGGCGACGGTCTGGCTCGTGGGTTTAGAGGAGGAGGAGAAGATGCCCCATGCAGTGGCCGTGGGGCACAGCGACGGCGACAGGATCGCCACCGCCACGGCGAGAAGGAGAAGATGGCATGTGCCTCTCATCTTGAGATTGCGTTACCCAGTCTGAACTCGTGATGTTCAGGCCTGCACTGCGAATTTTTGTTAAGATTATTACTGTTTCGGTCGACGCAAACGAAGCAGACGCGTTGTAAACTTGTAATTAAACGGGCTGCATTTGCATAGACCAAAGCAGGAAAGTTTTGAAGCCCGTTCCATCCAAGCCGTGAATCATCAGTGACACAGACGCATGCCTGCACTAGCAGCAGTAATAAGCAGTAAATTGGTTGTGATGTATGTTCACCTCCGTCGCATGCATTCACAGAGCAACTGCAAAAGGGGAAGGAACTGATGCACCGAAAGATGTAAATCTTCCTTGAGCAAACAAAGCAAACCCTGAACCCAGAGGTTAAACAGATTCTTTTTAGTTAGGTTATAATTAGCGGTGGAATTTCGTTTTGATCGATTGCAAATCAGCGGATCTGCTGCGGTGCCCCTGATCCCTTCTCCCAGGTCCAGCCTCCTCCTCCTTCTTCTTCTTCTCCGGCGGTGCTTCTCTCTGCCCGTCCGATCAGTCGGCGGCGGCGGCGGCGGCCAGCCATGATTTGTGGGCTCAGAAAAGGCTAAAACGCGCGGCACGCACGGCGCCGTTTCGCGATTCATGGCTCCTCTGCATTTACGATCATGCAAGGAAGCAAAGAAACAGAGCAGTAACGTACGGAGCAGAAACCAGTTACAGCATCCGGCACGTACGTTGGTACGAACTGCTGCGGCCTCGAGCTCGAACTCGACCGACTCCTGCCGGCGATCCCGCGAGTCTGCCCGGAGATGAGAGTGGACGGCGGATCGGAACGGAGCAGGAAGAAGAAAGGCGAGGAAAATGAATGAGCCGTCAGCCCCGGGCCGTATTTATAGATGCCCAGGCCGATGGCGGTTCCGCGTCCTCGATCGTTTCGTTCGCGCCAAGACAGGAAGGCGAGTCGGTTCGAGCGATTCTTTTTCTTTTTCTTCACTTTGAATTTTCACACATGTAACCCGCGCGTCCCTTCCCATCGAGCGAGCACACTGAATCTGGATTACCAACGTCAGCAAAAAGATTTTTTCTAGTCTAAATATTCAAAATCTTTTAAATTTAACACAACCTGATAGAAGTCGCTCACATACACTCACCCCTATAAACGCAGGCATGCACACCTAACCCCTATGGGCACCTCGAAGAGGCTGAGCGAGCATAACATCTTAAGATTTTTCGAAGTTATAACATGCGCCTCGTAGTTGACAAAAACGTCTCCTCCCACTGAATGAACATCGTCGGAAGCCTGAAACAAATTAAGGAATAACGCGAGCACCAATGTCAAGTCCCACTATCCTCCTAAGGGAATCTCCAACGGCAACCCGCAAAAATCTCCTGCATCCGTCCACGGATAGGGGAGGGACCAGTGCGCGGACACGGATGCGGGACGCATACATCCGATCTTCCGGTTTCCCCCCAGTCTGCACGATCAAATAGCCGCACACAAAGGGCACATCAGTTTAAATAGCCGCATTCAGCACTAGTTTAAATTTCAAAAATTCAAATATTTTACACCCGAACATTGTTGTCCCCTTTCACCATCCACTGATACTCAATCAGATACTCCTTGAGCTGCTCGTGAGTTGGTCAATGCCGAATTTGTTGATGCATTTGAATAAACTTCTCAAATGTAACCGAATTCTGGTCTGAAATTTGAATAGGATCACCCATATTCTCAAATTCCAGAGCTGCGGCAACATCGTCACCCTCATCCTTGATGAACATGTTGTGCATGATCACACAACATGTCATCACCTCCCACAAGGGTCCGGATCCCATTGTTTTGCAGGTCCACGAACAACTGCAAAATGGGCCTGAAGAACTCCGAATGCTCTCTCGACATCCTTTCTAACTGCTTCTTGTCTTTGAACAAAGCGAGTCTTTTTCTAGACAATAGTGTTTGAGATTGTGCTGACAAAGGTAGCCCATGCAGGATAGATACCGTCAACCAGATAGTAGCCCATGTTGTACTAATGTC